AGTTATTTCTTCTATTTTATCTTCTTATTTTTTACTGATTTTATTCTTTTCCCCTTTGCTGCCTCATAAAAAAAGCGCGGCAGCCTGCAGCAGCAGCAGCAGCAACAGCAGCAGCAGCAGCAGCAGCAGGAGCCAACGCCACTCAACGCAGAGCTACCAGCCACATCAGCAGCAGCAGCAGCAGCAGCAGCAACAGCAGCAGCAGCAGCAGCAGCAAAAGCAGCAGCCTTGGAGTGTATTGACCTCAAAAGACAACGGGGCTGCATGCGCAGCAACAGATGCAAACAGAGCGGGGAATGGCTGCAGCACCAGGTGTACACACAGCAGCAGCAGCAGCAGCAGCAGCAGCAGCAACAGCAGCAGCAGCAGCAGCAATAAGATGGAGACGCAGCAGCACAGGACAGATGCAACGCCCCTGAAGGGGACAGACAAACTGGGGGGCTCAGAATGCAAACAAACCAACCAGGTGAGCAGCAGCAGCAGCAGCAGCAGCAGCAACAGCAGCAGCAGCTGCTGCTGCTGCAGCAGCAGTAGCAGCAGCAACAGTGTCTGCTGCAGCAGCAGCAGCAGAAGTGGTAATCGTGCAGATAGATACTTCTCCGTTGTCAGATCTAAACCCCTCATTGATGCTGCTGCTGCTGCTGTTGCTGCTGCTTCTGCTGCTGCTGCTGCTTCTGCTGCTGCTTCTGCTGCTGCTTCTGCTGCTGCTGTTGCTGCTGCTGCTGTCGCTGTGGCCTTACACATATATGCTGAATGTCTGCGTTGTATGCGATGCGTTTCTGCTGCTGCTTGTCCTGTTGCTGCTGCTGCTGTTGCTGCTGCTGCTGCTGCTGCTGCTGCTGCTGCTGCTGCTGCAGGCATTGGCAGCAGCGCTGCAGGAGCTGCAGCAGGAGTTGCTGGGTGTAGCCCGCAGCAACAAGACTCTGTCTTGCTGCTTGTCTGCTGCTCGGCAGCGGCAGCGAGCAGCAGAAGAGGGGCGCATGCAACTAGCAGCAGATCTGCGGTGTCTATGCAGCCGTCTTGCTGCTACTGTTTCTGCGTTCGAAGCAAAACATAAACCAGCAGCAGCAGCAGCAGCAGCAGCAACAGCAACTGCTGCAGCAGCAGCAGCAGCAGATAACTGCTGCAGCAACACAAACGCAGTAGAACAGCTCCTTACCCTAGCAGACTTCCTTCATATTAAACTGCAGCTGCTGCTGCAGCAGCACCTCAGCGATGACCAGCAGCAGCAGCAGCAGCAGCAGCTGCAGCAGCAGCAGCACCAAAGCAAAGACAAACATCAGCAAGGAGACGCGGCAGCAACAGCTGCAGTACATAAGCAGCAGCACCAGC